AGGAAGACAAATGACAGAGGACAGAGAGGGAGAACAAAAGAGAAGATTAATCAAACGGCTTACCAAGCGGCCAGCTTGATTGTTGTGGAGATTGACCATCGACTGTATATCCCCGGCTATCTCGCGCGTATCTAGGAACTGTCTCGAGAACTCCATGCCGTAGTCGAGGTTGTGAGAGCAGCCGCCCCACTTCCATTGGGTGCCCCTGGCCTTGCCAGGCGGCTTACCCTTGTAGCTCGACGGGTCGCATCCGCAGGAGAGCAACCGTCCCATGCTGCACGCGCGGGCCACGCTGTGCGCCACCCCAGCTGCGAAAATTGCGAACGCGAACGCGGTCTCCCTGTAACCTGTAACAAACAACAATCCTTTTTTTCACTCTGGCATTCTCTTCTCCATGCGTCGTTGTTGAATCAGGCCAAGACTCAAGATTAGGCGAAATCTTTGAAAGCGCTGCTGCTGCCACGACGTTTCTCCGACGTCGGTGTTTTTCGCACGCAGAGGAGCAAACGAAGATGAACACGATCAAGAGGGATTGGTTTAGCAAATTGTTACACAGGACCGCGGAACGAGAGTAATATACGCAACGCGACAGCGGCGATCACGTTCGTCGCTTCTCCCGTGAGCGATGAGAAGGAGCGACGAACCAGCGGGACACCGTGGAGCCGAGCTTCCGTAGAAGGAGCTTCGGTAGCGAGTTGGACGGATCGTTCGACGGATCGGCCATCGACAGACAGCCATCAGACGAAGTTCCACACAGTGGTAGATTATTCAGCCGTCCGTCAAAACAAAGCGTGGCCATCAACAGCGGCGGCCGGCGGGCATTCATTGACTGCATGTATAAACGATCTCACGCTGGGGTCCCCGAAGACACGATGCCAAACTCTGGCCGCGATCGCCGCTCCTTCCAGCAATCTCGACGTTTTACGCCAATTTTACGCTTGTCTTTCGACGCGTAACGATCATTTGATCTCACGGTGGAATTGGACCGGCAGTCTAGATCGTTTTCTTTGCTCTCGTTCTCGCACGCGTTACCACCGCTCGATTCAAGGGTGAAAATTGAGGTCTTCGACAACAAAAGAGAGAAGAGAAGGCGAGGAGTTTGAGGACGGCGAGAATCTTTCGGGGCAGAATTTGGAAATTCGTCCATCGACGAACAAAAGGGGTTTAGGTTGGATCCAGTTCGATAAGTAATGCGACGTTAAACGCACTTTTTCTTTGCTACCTCCAAGGCCTCTCTCGTCGTTCGAAGCGTCGCTGGAGTCGGATTGACGGATGGCCGATCGTCAAACCGCAATGGTGGCTGTCAACTTACAAACGATACGACACACGACTGCCGGCGGCTACGGAATACGCGCTCGAAACTGTCCTTTTCTTCGCGACTCGTTCGACAATACCCACACATTACTCTGTCCCCTCTTCTCTCAGGTCCAGAAGGAGCCACTCCAATCCGCGAATACCGGGCGGTATTTGCAGTATTCATGAGAACGAGATACCGGGGAGACGCGCTAAAGGCACATTCGAAAAGGATTTGTGGTATTCGTTCTCGACACCCGATGAGCCACTGCGCTGTCGTTACGTCGTCCCCCCTCGACAAGCTGCCCCTTTTGTTCGTTCGTTCGTCCGTTTCGTTTCGAGACCACGTTCCGAACGCGACTCGCGTCAAGGCTCGGCCAACAAACCGCGCGTCTATCTATTCGCGCGCGCGCGTTTTCAACGCGTGATTCTCTCTAATTTCGCCTCCGTCGCGTCGCGTCGACGAATGATCCGTCGTTCGATCAGAGCCGTCGCACCGGAATCGATCGGCCCCCATCACCGTGAAACCGTGCCGTTGCGATTTCATTCGGCAGGCGTTCTCCGAACGTCTCCTTTTACCTCGGACGACGTTCCACCGCGTGACGGCGGCAGGGAATCGTCCTCCGAGCGACGGATCCATGGACGAACCGGATCGACCGACAGGACGGATCCGTTTCGGTAAACGAGATCGGACAGCCGGTCGCTCGATTACGTCGCCCTTCGTCGATCGTACGAAACCTGGCGACGTTAAAGAGTCGACGCCGAGGCGAAGTATAGCAAGCATACGACCAATAGCAGACTTTTTTCCCCCCTTCCTTAAGAGAGAGAGATCGTTGCTTCGATAGAAACGTTGACGACGAAGAACGATCGAAGGGGGGGGGGG